GTTGAATTTCTCTGCTTCAGAGGTTATCTACAACCTCTTGATTGCTGACACTTAACTGCTAAGAATTTTAGCACTGTCAATTCCAGGGCAAGAGGCAGTGGCTTGGGTGATGCATCACAAATAGGAAAGAAATTGGAATCACCAGGTCTCTTGGCCTCAGGTTAAATTGATCTATATCATCATGTCCTCAGGTTCAAAGGGGTTAACAGTCTCTCTATTGAAATTTTTTTGCGTAAAGTAGACACAGGCCTTTTCTGGGAATTGCAGGCCTAAATAATCATGAGAAGTATATTTGGTTGATTGATGGGGAGAATTTCTAGATAATACTCAAAACAGTCCTTGATCTTGTACACTCAGGAAACTTTTGCAGAAATGGATCTAACTGGTTCAGTCTTCTAAGTGGACATAGAATAGACTGATAAACAGGAAGGACACAGGAATTGATGGTATTGACATCAGACTCTTTAAGTCAGTAAATGTTGCTGGAATTGAGAAATAGTTTTCAGACATAGATCAAATTCAGAGCATTGGCAGGAAAACAAGTTCTAAAGATGAAATTGAGGGTGTGGTTGTAAAATCCTAGAAAGATCCAAGTAGCTTCCTAGAAGGATCCAAGGTGGTGCCTGGAAGATCTGTCCAACACAGCAGAAGGCTTCTAAGAAGCTTCAGGGTATTGTCCCTTCATCTTCTCAGAAGACCAGGTAGAGAAGGGCTTCTTCTCCAGAGATTCATGAGTGAGTGAGGTGTTTGTCTAATGAAGTGAAGTCTAGTAAGATTCACAGAAGATCTAGAGGATCTTTGAGAGAATTGTATTTGCAGAAACACTGCCAACTTAGACTGAAAGAGACAGGATTATAAAATTAAAACTCCTTTGATTCCCCCAAATCTCTGTGGGAAAGATAAGAAGTAGACTGAGAAAGCTACACAGCTGCAAATTCAAGCTACTTTCCAAGGAAAAGGGAAGATGATTTTTAGGGTGGAATGATGACTGTTGAGTGTGGAGCCAAAACCCATGGACTCTGCAAGACCCTGGTCTGTGTCCTAATAAAGGAACTTCCAGCCTGTGCCTTGTGGAATTTGAGAATTCCTGTTGGATCAGTGTGGCTCAGGTGTGTCTTTCATTTCTCCATACTTTAAAATGGACTATCTATCCTGAGGGTAGTACACCTGTCCCATCATTGTATACTGAGAATAGGGGAGGATAAGCAATTTCCTTTTTGTTTATTGACAGTCCGGTTGAGAGAAACTCAAGAGCTGTACTTAAGGAATAATACCTCAGGAGACTCTGCTGCACACCTGAATCTGACTTAGATAATAAGGTTCTGGACTTTGAACTCATCTTGTAAAGAGATGAGAATTTTGGGCACCTTAGGAGGCAGTATTGAATTTTATATCTGGGCAAGACATGGATTACTGGGTTCCAGAGAATGAAATGTGGAAGCCAGTCCTTGAGTATGCCCCTAGTGATTCTCACCTGGTATTCATGTTCTTGTGTAATTTCTGCATCATAGTGCTGACCTTTGTAACTAATAGAATATTGAGCACATGATGGAATGTGACTTTGAATGGTAGGGCATAAGACATTGCACGTTCATCTTGCTCTCTCTTGCATCATTGCTTCTATCAAGAGGTTCTATGGAGATGTCCATTTGGTAAAGAACTGAAGTTTCCTGTCAACAAGCAGTGCTGATTTTTCAGCCATATGAGCCAGTCACCTTGCAGACAACCCCAAGCCCCAACAAAATCTTTGGATGACTTCAGTCCTAGATGACATCTCAAGTACAACTTGGTGAGAGATCCCCCAAGTTAGAATGATCCAGTTATGGCCAGTCCCAAATTTCTAATAACTCTGAAATGATGTGAAATTATAAATGTCCATTGTTTAGGAGGTTAAGGTTTGGAACAATTTGTTATGCAGCAATAGATAACTAATAGAGGTACTATGCAGAACTAATACAAACCCAAGAGTCTTTGTAGAGTTTTTTGTCTTCCTTATAGTTAGTTAGCATTCAGTTCTCAATAATTAATCAGGAGAGATAATTGATAATGAATCAGGTGGAGTAGATTTTGGAGAGAAAATCTTGTTTATGTTTCTGCCTTTATTCATACTCACAGAAAAATTTTTAAATAAAAGGATTTAAATAGATAACTTTAGGATTTATTTTTTAAAAAATTTACTAAGAAGCTGCTCTTGGTACTGAAAGTGTAGGGATTAGACATGTTGGCTTTTGAGTATTTTATGTAAGTTGGGTTATGAAGTATTTATGTGACAGATTGGGTGAGGGAAGGGCTTCCCTCCCCTTACAGAGAGAAGTGTTTGTCCTTGTAATGGGTTACAGATCCACACTCTACTTGTTACAACACATAGGGAAGATGGGGCCAGAAAGATTAACTAAGATTTCCAAAGCCATGCAGTTGGTTAGTGGTGAGCTAATTTGGAGTTCTGGCTACCAGTCCAATTAGATAAAATTTGTTTCCACTTGTCATCTATTTTTACTCTCATTTTTGGTAACTTCAAGTAAAAATGGTTCCATCAAATGAGGACTAAATACTTTCCTGGGTATGACTAAGTAAGGCTTCCTGATGTTTCAACAGACATGAAAATTTTATACTTTTGTATATTCCCTGAGGCAGCTCTCTGCCTGGGTCTTTTGAAATAGCAAAAATAAATTAACAGTGGGCTCAAGTCTAGTAAGCACGATGTAGGTTAGTTCTGATCTAAGTACAGGCTGTTCCTGTTGTATAGGCTCTGTGTGACTTTATTTACCAGGTTTTCTGCTTGAAGTCAACCATTTAAAAGATATTCTGCTTTTTGGTTCAGATAGAGGATTTACATAAGACTAACATGTAATCGTTAATTGTATTTTTTTCTTGAATATTGTCTCGAGGTGTAGTCACTTTAGATTTTAAGTGGTTTCTCCTTAAAGACTTAGATGGGTTTTGAGGAATGTGTGGCTTTATTTGTCCTTGTCAACCTGTACATATTGTCAACTAGATGAATGTTGATAATACTTCTATAAAATATGTGAAGAATTGTTTTGACTTGAAGTTCCATAAGTTTACTTTGAGTTTAAAGTATTATAATATGTTAGTTAAAACAAAGTTTTTTTTTTTTTTTTGCTGTGCTAAAGCCTTGCACATGCTAGACAGGTGCTCTACCACTGAAGTACATCCCCAGCCCAATAGTTTATAATACCTTAAACATTCAGAGCCAAATTAAGTTGATGGGAAGTCTTCTATCAGTTTATTTTTCCATTTATTATATGAAATTGTTTCCTGTAGAATTTGGAGTATTGGTGAACCAAACTATTTGTTTTCCTCTGCTCCTCAGTGGCCAGTTTTAGACCATAATCATGTATCATCTGGTAATTACAGATAGTATAGTTTCTAGAAATTGTGTATTCAACACTACAATTACCTTTTGTTTCTCCTGGAATTTTGCCAATAAATTATTTCTTCTTTTTTCTACATAAAGTCAAATTAAAGTCACATTCAGTGTCTCTCATTGAGTTACTCAACTTTTGACTTAAATTTTTTTTTTTTTAATCTTTGGAATCATCTTATTTAAAATGATTCATGGATTTCAAATTCTAGCTAGGTAGTTTGCAGTGCCTTTTACTAAGAACATACTAGAATGATCTACCACCTCTATGAATAGAGATTGATTTATGATGCCCCTTACTTCTCTAGCCATCAGCATTGCTTTTCTCTTGTCACCCCTCCTCCTGTACTTTCCCTAACTCCCCTCACTCTCCAGGAACCCAAGCTGTTCAGTTTGCTTCTTATCTCTCCTTTCTTTTTCTAATCATTCCCTCTCCCTTTGCCACACCATTCTTACTTTCCTTACTGTGGGAATGAGTATCTTCTGGTCCCTGAACTCCTGGGGAGGGAGGTGAGGTTTCAGGGAGACATACAGCTTAGAGGAGGTGTTGCCCGCATGCTGAAGTAGACCAGGAATAAGTGTTGTCTGGTGAGGGGAACACTCCTGTACCCCAAATCCCTGACAAAGCAAAGACCAAGAGCTTACATAGGATCATCCCACATCGGCCCCACAAAGTGCTTTCTTTTTTTAAATTAATTAATTAATTAATTATTTTTTTATTATTAGTTGTTCAGAACATTACATCTTTGTTAAGAGTAGTAGAGATGAAGCCCAAGCTAATTTTGGTAACCAAATGTGTGTGGTTGAAATGCAGCTGATTGTAAAATAGGACACATAGTAGTCCGTGTTTGTACAGCAATTTACATTAATGAGAAGCATTGGTTTGTGAGTGAAAGGTTTGGGTTTTGAAATTAGATATGAGGAGAGCCTTGGATAGATTTTCTTTCTCTCTTTCTTTTTCTTTTTTTGGAGGCAGCTCTTTAAACAGGTGCAGGGAGTGAATAATGTGCCACTCCTAAACTGTGTGATTTAGCCAATGAGCACCAGGCTTCTCCTTGGTCTTATAGCATGGTTTCCCTGTCCGTCAAGAGCTGGCTCGGCAACCAAACCCAGATTCCAGGTGTGGTATTCCACAGTCATTCTGTAATTTGTAATCATAGAAACAGAACGTTCCTCCTCTTATTTCTTCCTTGCCAACAGTTTCTGGGTGGGTGAATGTCAGTAGCTGGAGTTATTTTTAAAGAGGAGAGGTGAGGCTTGTCGTGCGAAGCTGGGAAGAGGGCGTTTGTTTGCAGAACAGAGCTGACATCAAAGTGTAGATTACTGCTCAGTGGCTAGGCACTTGTCCTATAACAGGTAATGTTTAACGTGCCAGTCACAAAGATCACAGAAGCAGTGTATGCTTGCACATAAGATAGCACTGCCTTTTATGCTCTGGAAGACTGAAAGGCTATTTGTGCCCATGTATTTTTTTTCCTGATATATGTTTGGATGGGTCTTGCTGCCGTCTCTTTTGCTGACTGTAATTGGACTTTGAAGCTGGGAAGTTGTATCATAAAAATTTGTAACCTTTGAGAACGAGCTCGGCTAAGCATTCACTTTCCAATTCTTTTCACAGGATAATATAAACGTATTTTTGAAAGCTTGTGAACAGATTGGATTGAAAGAAGCCCAGCTTTTCCATCCTGGGGATCTACAGGATTTATCTAATCGAGTCACTGTCAAGTAAGTTTCATTGGTTTGTTATATATTTTTTTAAACTAGGACTTGCAGCTTAAGTGAAATAATTGCTGAGAGCTTGTGATTACTGAAAATTTGTTCTTCTCTGTCTTCCTGTGTTCTTATTCTGATTAGACTATTTAAAAAATGGCTCAGGGACTGTGAATGTGAAGTTGTCTGTAATTGGTAGCATTTCATAGTCTTATTGTAAATCTGTGTACTGACCAAAGTGGCAGTTCATATTTTAATGCTTGTCCAATGTGGTAGTGTTTGGTTGCTTATGTGGAGCATATTCATTATATTTATCAAGTGTATTTAGAGATCATGTTATAGTTCACACAGTAAAAATAATTATTTTAAGATAGTTTTTCATATATTAGGAATTAAGATACATAAAAATTTTATGTTAACATAAAAAATTAGAGTGGGACAGTGGTGAAAAAAACTTTATTAGTATTTGGAAGGTAGAAGTGCCTGAGACCAACATGTAATGCCTGTGAAGACCTTGTCAGTTGTTGCTTTTTTTTTTTTAAAAAAAAAAATGAACTGTTTCTCACTTTTTCAGTAGTTTGGACAAGAAAGCCAAAGTGGGCTTGAAAGCATGTCTGTAGGTATACTCTTGAAATTTGGGTGGAAAATGGTGTTCATATGTGAGTGTATGGTTTCAGGAACTCTGATTTTAAGCTCTTCTGAGATTGTTTTTCTATAAATTTAATTTGCTTTCAAGAAATCAGTAATAAACTCATATTGCCAGATAAATGTGACAGGAAAATTGTTTAATTTTTTAATGATAACTACCTCCATACCAGGGCTCTTAAGCCTAACTAACATTTTTCCAAGTGAGGAAATAAATACTTTGTTCTATCTGTAGAGATAATGAAAGTAAAACAAATCAGTTTATACCGATTTGGACAAAGATTTAGTTTATGTAGTTAATAGTCTCTGGATAGTGGCTTCAGTGTTCATTAAAAACTGAGTATAAAAATCTTAAATATGGCCATTTTTTTAAATGAAGGAAAATAACTACATAAATATTTTTGATCGTATACAGTGTCTTCTAATAGTACAATCTAAAATCTCAGGTAGCATTAGCTTTTAAAGTCTAACAATACATATTTTTAAATGAGCAGTTTCAAACATACCTGCTTCTGTATCTGTTGAATGTTTTTCTGATTCTATGGCAGCGCTATGTGCATGTCAGGGAAGAGTTTGCAGTTTTGATTAATTGAAAGGTAGTTGAGATATCCTAAGTTTTATTACTGAAATGTTTCCTTCTGTAGTATGTGAGGTTGAAAAAAATTTTCTAAATGCATTTGTTCTATTTTTCCTAATCAGCATATTCTTTCACAGCTGATAGGCAGAGAAACTTTAGATCTTAAAAGTCATCTTTTGCTTGAGTTGTTGGTGTCAATTAAGAATAAGATTGCTTTCCCCTGAAATCCTATTGTTTTGAAACTCTGCATCTTATATTTGAGTAGGCTAAGGAATAGGCAAAACATGTTTGTTGGTTCCTAATTTCAAGTGTGCTATGTACCAAGCTTTCTTGGAGCTTATTTCAGGAGCTATTGGGTCTGAAATGTTTAAGAAAAATCAGTATCTGGGTTCAGCCTTTAATGAAATTAAATTACTGGCAAAGTGAAACCGAGAGGTCACGTATTTACAGCTGTAGTAAGAAGTATGCAGAATAACTTGTTTCAGTGGAAACCACAAGTCTATCAAAGCAAGGTGTGCCTCAGTCTTTCCAGCAAGGATGCCTGAGCGAGAACTTTGAGTAAGAACTTTTCCCCTGATCATTGGGATGAAGGGACGAATGGTTGGCTCTGGGTCTGCCATTTCCAGAGCCCTGGAGCCTCCCAGCTGAGACACAAGAAAGCTGGCAAATGACTTCTTTAAAAATGTTGGCTAAACTCTTATGCCCTGAGACAGCATTTTTATTAAAGGAAGCAGGTTTAAAGGAAAGCAAATAATTGCTTACTAAATAGTAATGCATTGTAGTTTTTAGTTTTTGTTCTTATGTGGAGGCTCCTATAGGTCAAATATTGTCCTATTATTATTGTAGATTAAAGGACTTGATTAGGTCAGTAGTTCTCAATGGGAGGGTGTTTTACCTCCTTGGGGACACTTGTCAATGTTTGGAGACACTTTTAGTTGTCATAGGTGGGGAGGGGTGCCACAGGCATCCACTGGGTCAGGGATGATGCTAAATACTCTTGAGTGCAAAGGACAGTCTCAATAATGAAGAATTTTTCTGATAATGCTGGAGTTGAGAAACTGGCTTAGAATTCCATACTTGAATCCTCTTTGCCAGCAAGATAGCCATGTGGAAATGAAGGATACTGACAGTGACAGACTTTTGACACACTATTAGAATGCAACTACTTGTAGATATATAGTAATTGCTCCATTTTTGTGTTACGTTTATTGTCTATTTTCTTTTGTTTTTTGGAGGGTGTATCAGGGATTGAACTTGGGCACTCAACCACTGAGCCAAATCTCTAGCCCTATTTTGTATTTTTTTTTTTTTAAATTAGAGAAAGGGTGTCACTGAGTTTCTTAGCACCTCGCTAAATTGCTGAGGCTGGCTTTGAATCCATGATCCTCCTGCCTCCCCCTCCTGAGCTGCTGGGATTATAGGTGTGCGCTACCGCGCCTGGCTTATTATCTATTTTAATGTGAAGGCTTATTGTGATTTATCTGAGCATGTGTATAAATACTTTGAGATTATTTTGCTCATCTATACATTCAGTTGAACCAACATGTGTCAAGCTCTGATTATTTTAAATGGTCTGTCATTATTCAGCTACTTAGGTTGCACCTAACAGTGTATAGAGCCGTCATTGGCCTCATTGCAAGTGCAATGTAACCGTGCCATACTGAGAGCAAACAGGAATGGATAGTTGATATTATCCTCTGTGCTGGTGAACTTGAGGTGCTTTTTGTTAGTGTGTGGAGAGAATAAATATGGAGTGGGTGTGTGCAACCTGGGAGAGTTGTGTGTTGAGAATAATAGCAGAAGTTGCTAGTAGATAACTTCAATAATTCAGGCCCTTAAATAAAACTGTTTTCCAGCAATTTGAGACTTACAGTTTAACTTTTCGCAAGTGAAACAAAACCAGAGTACACTTTATATGTCTGTAATTATATATACTTACATATGCTTTAATTTTCTGATTTATTTTACATTACAGGAAGTAGTAGTTTGAATTCTTCCTATGTTCGAATGATTCCATTCATTTTGGTATTTTATCTATTCCAAGAGTCAATTGCCACTTTTAATTTTGAGATCTTTGATTTAATGGATAGGATCCATCTTTACATTCTTTCTTCCCAATAGCAAATTTGTGATTTATTCTCCATAGGGGGTAGATGAAGGTCTGTTCCATTCTAAGGGTGTGAAATTCAGCTTACATTGTAATAGCCATTTACTGAATTTAACATAGACATCCATACTGAATTTATCATACACAATCCACAGAGAGTAGGTGGTGTGACCTTCACAGAGCTGTCTATGCACACCTTCTGTAAAACATCTGTAGAAGATTAAGTACAGTGACCATATGCACATGCCACTGCATACTGGGGACCTGTGAGAGCAAATGTCATGGTCTCTGTAGTGGCATCTGGTCATTGATAGAAGTTCGGAGCAATTGCTTATAGGTGAAAGTAACTCAACAGGGTAGGTCAGAGGTCCTCTATTGGTGTACTCAGAGTTGGAAGAAAGCTAGAAACTTAACATTAACAATTTTATTTTTACATGTTTAGCAACTTATCTTAGAAAACTATGTCCTGTATTGAAACCGTTGCTTTAACAGATTTAAATCTAAATTTTTAGGTTGAGAATTTGAACAGATTGTAAACATGTTTTTACTTTCCACCCCCTTACTCTTTCAATCCAGCTTTTTTAGCACTTCTTCAGATACATTCTGTTCATAATATAATTACAGGATGGCAGTTTTTTGGAGCACAATATATTTCAGTCATTCAAATAAATTATTTTCTGGTAGAGACTTACTCTCCACCATTATTTAGGGTATTAATGTTTTAAGTATAAAATGTAACTTTAATAAACATTGATATTGACTAAATTATTAAAATGTACTAAAGTGAGGGTACAGAAATTAATAATCTGTCTTTACATGTGCTAGTTGCCAAAGGAACAGTGGTTGGAAGCAAAATTAGTGTTGACGTTTTCCATCATGAAAATAAAGGAGGCTAAAAATGATATTTTAAAGATGGAAGTGTTTCTAAAGCTTCAAAAGGGTGCTTGATTTTTGTGGCAATGCTGTAAGTCATTTCTTAGGAGTCAGGTTCCCAGATGACAACCTTTTCTAACAGTTTCTCAAATTGAGCTTGATGGGTGTGAGTGTATTAAGGTTTACTCATGCAAGTAAAAATATACTTATTTTGAGTTCTTTAATTTCTGCCCTTTTCTGATTTAATCTAGATTTATATATATATTTTTTTATTTCCCAAATCTGTGTCTTTCAAATGAATTTTTCAACATTTTAATTTTTTTTTTAAAGCAAGGTTAATGATCCAATCTTGGATCTGTACCTTGAACATGGTGAATTCCACCTGCCAATTCATGTTATTATTTTCAAATGTTCCCTTACTATCATCTTGTGAGAAGGGAAAAACAGAAAGGAAGCTCATTGTACTGTATACATTTCTGTCCCATTCAGCCATTCTTTGGGGATAGGGATTTACTGGGAGGGGACATTAATTCTTCAGATGTCTGAGCTTCTGTTAAAGGCTAGTAGCAAAAATGTGTGGCCCAGTTTGTAAATGCTCTTTTAATTGCATAGTTTGACTGTCCAAGAGTCTTAGGTGCAAAGAAAAGTTGTGGAATATGAGGCAGGTCTGGGATAAGCTATAGCAGGACTGAAATTTTAATTGTGTCTGTTTTCTTCATTTCAAGTTCTTAATCTATTTCTCAGATACACAAGTTTCTAGATGGCACTTCTCCTTACTGAGCTCTCTGCTCCCTCAAACCCCGAAAAGCTTTA